TTCAAGCAAGATTCAAGGCAGTGGCCCTGGGCAGCGGCTCAAGAACTGCGCCGCAGCAAGATCGACAGAAGATCCGCGCGACGCGACGCGGTCAAGAAAGCGACTAGAAGACTCATCCACGGACGTTTCAACTCATCTTCATTCGTTGGTAGACTCACCGGCACACCATGCCATTGGCGTGTGTATTTCTGCGGATAGGCATGCGGAAAGGGCTCGCCGCTCGGTGAATGCCATTGTTCTGGCCGTGGACTTGAAACACCGCGTGGTTCACCACATCCAAAAACGATATCCCGATGTGCTTTGTCTCCTTGTCTCCCGGAAATGCCCGGCTGATTCTCGAGATCATGGATCAGAAACCGAAGATAGTGAAGCTCCTCAAGATGGACGCTGGCACAAAAGAGGCGTCAATATCCTGGATCACATCCCGGTGAAACGCATGGTCATCCAAGCATGGGACTCCAACGTACCGAGACCACTCGCTCCGACAGATGGAAACCCCGCTTCACGATGAAGGGAAGATCACCTCCGACGGGGCTCCTTACACCTCAGGCATGAATACTGTCGAATGGGAATGGCATAGTGATCAATTGATTCCCTCAGACCAACTGGATACTGGGTCGCTATAGTACCTGCGCTACAACCGCATCGAGTCAGTGATGCCCCGGATGGCTAAACAACAAGAGAGATCTACTCACGCGCGGCGAGAACTTCGTCGGTGGGAGATCTATCTCCTGTAATCTACTCAAGAAAGGCGTATCAGGGCTGTGCGCGGGGGAGGGGGGAATAGCGCACTGGGTGGTGCCGCCGTCGTCAATACTGGCGTTGCGTCATGGTCATCGTCACCATCCTACATCTGTGAGCAAGGCATCCCAGCCCTCACAAGCGTACTACTCACGTCCTTGAGCAGTCCCTCACAGCAGCGGTCCCGGTGTTTCGTCCACAGTCCCGGATAGAATCGTGAGCGCCTGTCGAGCTTTATCCTCCGCGCACAATTGCGGCAGACAACTGCGTGCGGCTCTACGGTGCCAGGAACGATCCATATATCAGCCTCGAGGGAGAGTCGGCGCTCTGCCTCCGAGCGTGCTGATTTCTTCGATGGGCCGCCGCGGCGGGCGTTGGGTGGCGGAGGGGAGGCCCATGGAAGACCTGCGTAAGCGTTTGGCGGGGGCGACGGTGTACTGAGCCCTGTGATGGAGCTTGATGCAGATACGGGGCTGAAGAGAGTCCGGGCGCTGGTGCTGCTAGAGGAGGAGGAGGGCGAGGGCGATGACCACGACCTCTGAGTGGGTTCGTCGTCGAAAGGCGTCGAGTCGTGGATCAGGCCAGAGATGGGGAGTCTGCCTCGCGTTACGACAGCGGAATTGGCACGCGGTAGCCTGGAATTCAGCCCGCGTCAGCCCAATAAGTCGCTGGTTCCTGCGCCACGGTGCGTACCGCCTGGGACATTCGTACCAGTGCTCGTTGACTTGTTTTGAAATTTTGGTGAGAACGTCGTCAGGGCCGACGACCTCGAAGATGTGCCCACATCCGCGCCCGCACTTGTTCCGAAACCAATGCTCTGTGGGCAGTAGGTGGGCAACGTCGGGATGAGAGGAGGAGGTGAGCATCCTTGGCTTGCTTTACGAGAAATTTGCCGATTTCTTTTGGAGATATGTAGTGCGTGGAGGGGAGGAAGAAGTAAAACACGTGAGATCCTCACTGTCGGCGCAGATAAATGTGCCAATGCCATCTCGTGTCACTGAGATGTGATTGACTGATACTTTTATCCTCCTTTGTGGCAGCTGCGACCTGTCCGTCTCGCCCGCGAGGCGCGACCGCGACTCGAGCTCGCCATCCCCTCCAACGGGCCTCCGCTTTAACTCCCTTCCCGAGTCCGCCGACAGTTATTCTCTTCGGGTAGGGAGGAAGGTGTAACCTCATCAAGGGGTTCTGACACGGCGCTTGAATCAAGGGTGCTTCTCGGAAGTCTCTTCCCATCCACCCTCAACGAAAAAATTTAAAGTTATGCTAGGCCATCATTCAGCGGACTGTTCACATTCTGACAAGTTGCGCGCGCTCGGGTATAAATATTGCACATCGACTGTGCATCCTCCCCGTCCTCACTCTCCCTGCACCGCGCCCGGTTCTCGCTTATCCCGTGCTTCCCCAACTTCTTCCATTTAATTAATAACCACGAATTTTACCCACACACACACGGCGCAGACTCGCGGCAGAAGACCAGGGGCCAGCTGGTCCCGATCTATCTCAGTTGGAGGCCTAGCAAAATCTTTCGCTATCAGTGACCAGTCAGGATGGATACTGCGATAGCTGTCGGCTTCCAAGGCCTCCGACACCTGTGCTGCGTGCGTGCTGCGATGGAGTGTGAACTGGGCGCCCATGCAGGTCTGGCATTGGTGCTACTGGGACGACGTGCACATCTGCATATGATCTTCGAGGGCTGTGGGATCCCCAGGACCGGTGCATAGTGTTCCGGCTCGTATATCACTGGAATGCTCGCTCATCCTTGTTCGCAGTACGATCATTCATCTTTGTTCAGCTGCTACAACGCGCTTTTCTACGACTCCGACTCCGAAAGTCCGATTTCGAACTCCGCTACTGCACCTCGCCGCCTCGTTTTTCGCGCCGATGGAAACTGACATGCGGAATGTCTGTGCGAAATGCTGGGAAAGAAGCAGCTCCACCGGCGGTGACAATACAATCATCTACACATATATCTTCTCAGCGCCCCGGGGCGTGTCTGGAATTCATATCGGCTTCGCTTCGCTTGTCAGGGATTAAGGTTTGTCACTTTTTAAATTTATCCACGACGGCACGCAACAATGCCCTAGAATCATTTGTGCCCAAAACGCAGATCAAACTCAGGCAGCGGAGCTCAAAGTCGGAGTCGAATATTACGCTGAGAGACGCTCGCATTTCCGAAATTCGATTGTTCAAACAAAAACGAATGAGCAGTCGGACTAGTCGTCACATCTCATGTACTGGACCACTGGTCCAACCGTGTCCGCCACTGCCTTGACGGCAGAAGCCGAGCACAAGATGTCGAATTTAGTTCAACTCCAATCCAAGTCAATGGTAACTGTTGCGGGCAACCATATCGGCTTCGCTTGTCAGGGATTAAGGTTTGCCTCTTTGTGAACTCAAGTTTATATACGGCGGCATGCACCATGCGCTATGTAAATTGTGTACAATCAGCAACGCACGACGCATATCAAACTCAGACAGCGGAATTCCAAGTCGGAGTTGAATCCTTGGCTGAGAGACGCTTGCATTTCCGATATTCGATTGTTCAAATGAGAACGAATGAACAGTCGAACTCACCGGTCCTACCGTGTCTGCCGTCCGCCACTGGCTTGACGGCACCAAACGGATCAGCGCGGAGTCGAATTTAGTTCAACTCCAATCCAAGTGAATGCATCAACATGAAAGATACTTACGATGGGAATTGCTGCGGGCAACCCATATATACGAGTCCAGACTCCGCAACGGTCTGTCGAGACTCGCGGTACGCCGTAAGTAGGTACACACTTGTTACCTTGGTCTTCGACTCCAACTTCGCACAACAATGATCATCCATCCGTTCAAAATATTCATTGCAATCGAGTGTAAATACAACTAACTACTTGTCGGAACCACGAGTAAGATATTCACAGAAACATAGTAAGGAGATACGGCTCGAAAAGAGTGCCATTCAAACGATCAATTCCATAGTCCAATAATAACCCCCAGAATCCCAAAAAGACGGAATCAAAACAACGTATTGAAGGAGATCCCATTGGCAGCGAGAGCGAGGTGGGTGAGAGCAGCATCAGCAGCGCGCTGCGCTGCATCGGAGGAAGGCATCGAAGTGGGCGTGCCAGGGACAAAAGTGCTAGTCGGCGAACGAATCTGCATCGAAACACACCGCGACCGCGACTCCGGGTGTTCGGGTATAGAGGAGAGTTCCCGCCTGGGGACACGCGCGGTCCGGGGCCTGATGGTGGAAGAGTTGATGCGGGCCTGGGGGTTGGGCACTACGCATGAACTCTGGGTATCGGCGTGGGGGTTGGCACGCTTCGGCGAGGAAGAGGGGTGGCCAAGGCCAATGGGGTGATGAGGGCGAGAGGAGGGGGAGGGGGACGCGGCGCTGCCGGCCTGAGTTGATGCGGTGGATGGAGGATGACCGAGGCCAATGGGATAACGGGCGATGGTGGCGGTGGAGGATGATGGTGAAAATGCGGCACGGCCGACTTGATAGGGCTGGGGAGCTGGGAGATGCTCGTGGGATGCTGCTACGCTCGCTGTGATACGTTGCCCCGGTGTGGGCACAACTATCACTCTGCGCTGGACGCTAGGGGCCTGTGAGACGCAAGGTCTGGTAGAGGATTTCTACACGGCGAGTTGACCGGCGTGAGTAAGATGTGAAGCAAAGCGAGGTATAGTACACGTACCAAGGTCCAAAGGTCGCTGTTCGGCATTGAGGGCGCCCAGGGATCATTTGTAGGGGCGGAGAGAAGAGGAGAAGAAGAGGGTGCGGAGATGACAGACATTGCAGAGTGAAGATTTGAGAGAGGTAAGGGATGAAGCTTTGAGTTGAATACGAAGAAGTTTTTAAGAGCAAAAGTAGGGCAAGTGGTGGGAGAAGAGAAAGGATTTGTTTATTTGTCCCCGCGGAATGGAAAACAAGAACAGTCAGGGGGTGTCGCAGATACCGATCGGAAATTGCGATCAGCCCAAAGCAGGTTTCTCGCAGGGGAAGCGAGAAAAGCGAGGAGAGCGTCGCAGATCTAGAAGAGAAGGTGAGAGTCAGGAACAAAGAGCTAATAGCACCCGAGCTAATGACCGCACGGTGACGTTGACTGAACTCGGCAAGAACCTTTGATTCAGCGCAATTCTAGGGAGAGGAGAAAGGGGGTCTGAGCTTGAGAGATGGCCGAAAACAGAAGGGCGAGGGAGGTCCAAGAAAGAGAGGGACGTAAGAGTGTGAGACATGAGAGTGTGGGGGTGATCCGTGCAGATTAAAAAGCAGCTGCTGGGGGTCGAACCCAGGACCTCGCGATGATCATGTTGTACATGGATTCATTGCAATCGCACGCTCATACCACTGAGCTACAGCTGCTTATGGGGCTGACTTCTCTGTGAATACTGTGCGCCGGGTACAGTGGTGGGCTATCGTTCCGAACCATACTTAGTCGCCGTTCTGATTGGAATCGGAAGCCCAACACACAACACACTTGTTCGATTTTTTGATCTCCCATTCCTCGACGACGTCAGCATCAGACCAGCGCCTGTGTCCAGGTTACTGCTCGCATCTGCGATTAGTCTGATAAATGGGCTGCTCCGTGCCAAGGCCAGGGTCAGATTTGCGGTGATCCGGGACGAGGCAAGACGGCATTCAGCAGATACCGCCTTGATGAAATCATTCTCCTGCCATTTCGGACGACGTGTGGCATGTGGAAACACACGCACGTTCTTGTTATCGCAACCGCATTGACAGCTGAGCGCCGTTCCATTGGCGTCAACCTACAACTCTCCCAGTCCTCCGCAAACTCATACGGTCGGGAAGAGAGCAGAAAAACAAGTGAGCCGTGCACTTTGGATACTTACTCGACCCGGTTCCAGCGGGTTTACGAAATCTCTGCGCCCGATAAAAAAACGCCGGCACGGGCGCCCAGGCACGCCACTGCCATTTTCATATTGACATTCTAAATAGTAAGCAACTCATTATGTCCGCCCCACTCCCACCCTCCGAGCTCTTCACTTCCTTTCACCATGTCATCCAAGGCAATCAACACCGCGACGACTCAGTGCGCCACTGTCCTCCTCCAAGCTGCGACCTGTCTCTAACACTTAACACGCACAGTTTCCTACGATTTCGGCTCCAATATTCCAGCCTGGGTAAGCATCTCTCCTTTGCCATGCCGACTCTTGACTTTCTTTCTCGCAGCGCTGCTGTACTACGACTACGTCTTGACCTTCCCGAGGGAGGTACAATACATCTGGAGGCAAAAATTTCGGCTATCTACGTTGCTGTACATTGGATGTCGATATGCGCTGGTCGCAAATGTCCTGTACCTCCTGGCGATAGCGAACAAACTGGGACAATCGGTAGGTCTCGCCACACACACTTGGCTGCGTTCCTGAAATGTTTTTGTAGTAAGTCCATAGTCTGACTTGACATCCGGGTCATTGACCACCTCTCTAGGTGCGACCTATGGTATAAAGTCTCGGGCGCTTTGAGCGTCGTCGGGCGTCTCGCAATAATAAGTGCGTTCTATTCATAATCCACTTTCCCGCGTGCCCGTCCTCACGCATGGCGCAGTCGTCTTCACACTAAGGAGTTCAGCCGTCTTTGGGAAGAACAAATGGGTATTTGCCTACATGAGTCTCGTTGGGCTGGCTTGTTTTGCACTGGACATTGTCGGTCTTCTTCCCGCTCTTTCGTTCCTTGGCTGATGAATGCAGACGCACGTTCCCGGTCTTCAATGTTCTGGGACTGCAGCTATTCCCGTGTAAGTCGGTTTCTTTCAATCCCTCTCTTCTCACTCTCCTCAGCGGTGAGTGTCCACTCTCTCCGCACAAATCATCGCATCTGAATCAATATCTGCCAAGCTCCCGAGATGCTTTCAATCCTGACCATCATCTTCGAAACTTCCTCGACCTTCTTCACCGCGATCCGCTGTCGACAGGCTCTACGTGTCATGAATAGCGCAGAGCGCAGGAAGTACAGTGTCGTGTCCATACTTCTCCAGCAAGGTAATTGCATCCATCGAGATTGCCCAAATTTACTGAAAGACAATCCGCCCGGTCTGCAGGAGTCTTATTCTTCTGTTCCATATCAATCTTCACCGTCGCAGGCGTGATCCTCCAATACGTACGTGCGGCTATCTGAATGTTCTTCGTGTCCTGTTGATCATTCATCCTATCCGATTCAGCGAGCACCAGTCAGTTTAATTTTACTCCGAAAGCCGCACAAACAGACAGGTTCTAATTTCTCGCCCCCTCCGTAGCCCGGATTCTTCCAACGTCTACCAAACGCATTCACACTCCCGTGCGTCCCATCTCATTTGAACTCACTCGCCGTGGAATGTTGAACCCTGACAGTCTCTCATGCATGCTCACCGCCCGCTTCATCCTGCACCTCCGCAAATGGTACGCAACGCAACTCGACTCGACACACATCGACGTCAACTCCAAGAGCGCAACCTTCGCGTTCCAAGTGTCCGACGCCACCACAACAACAAATGGAGAATTGACGACAATGTTCCCCGCACTCGCCATGGCCATGGTGGATGAATTTGGTCCAGATCCGACTGTTGTGGATTGTTTGTTGACGACAGAGAATGCGGCGGAGATGCTGGTGAGGAGGAATTATATGAGTGACCAGGATGCATATGGAGGGGATGTGCGTGGGGCAGGGCAGGAGAGAGATGAGGAGGAGGAAGAGGGACGGGTTGATGTGAAGTCTAGTGTATCACCATCAATGCGGGAAACGGAAATCGTGTAACATGTATACCTTGTATTAGTTTGTATCATCGGGATCGAGTGGTCATATGTTGTTTGTATCCGTCTAAAAAAGTTCGAAATAAACTTACAAGCGAGTTTCAAAATCGGAAAGGTTAGCAAGCCGTTCTTCTGGGGATCAGAGATGAGGCAAGGAATTAGTTGATGGAGGGAGGGTGAATTGGAGAGCGAGGAGAACTTCGTAGCAAGTATCATGGCCTCTGTCGACAACGTCAAAAGTTTTCCGACAAGAAATAAGTGTACATGATACTTGAACAACATGACAAGAAACCTACGAACGCTCTCAATTTGAATTTGTCTTCTCGACCACGTCAATGACATTCGAATCGTCAACAGCCCTGGACGCTGCCTCCCTCCGGCGCAAAGCAACCGATGTACCGATGAAGAACAAGAACGTCGCCAACATTAGAATCTCGCAACAAATTGTCGGGGTAAATGCCAGTAAGTAAGTGAAGGAACGTCACCGAACGCACCCCACTGAAGAGCGTCGGCCGCCACCAGATGAAACGACTTGTGAGGAGAGCGCCTTCGATTGGTGGTCCTAGCATCGCCAATTGATACGTTGTTAATTATAGCTGCCAGTGCTATTGTGAACTTACCAACGAGCCCACCGAGTCCGACGATGGCGAAGCCAATACCTATACGTAGTCTGATGTAGAGTTCAGCATGCGCCAACGGCCGAACCTTGGTACGTACCCCAGCCCCTCGATATTGGGCGTCAAAACCGCTATGATGGGCGGCATCGTTGTAAAAACTTCCACGAGTGTAATATGAGCACAAACCCGAAGCTCAAGAGGGAGACGGAGGCACTCACACATCCCCCCGAAAAACCCACACAGCACAGAAAAAACCAAAACGCCTACCATCGTCTTTGACAGAGCAAGCAGGCATAGGATGAAAACCGCCACTACAGCGCTGGATAGAGTCGCGATGTCGATGACACCCAGTCTATTGGGTAGGAAGCCCGGTAAGAGACGACCAAAGAATCCAGACGCGTTCAGGATGACCAGCTGTCAGCGAGCATTTGATTGGATTGAAGTCGTGGCAAGGGATTGGTATGTACGCACGGTGTAGAAGGCGACATGCTCGTCGATACCGTGCTTGACGGCTTCTAGCTGGAGATAGAAGAGCGGAAAATAGTAGCTGTGCGGGGATGAAGCAATGAGATACTTGGCCATGCAACTTTCTCACCTTGCGAGAAAGGTCGTCCATCTGCGAAGCCTCAGGTGATTGGCAGTTGTGCGGAAGGTTAGTACACGTACGCGCCCACGGTTAACATACAAGGCACATCCCTCACAAAGCGACTGATTGACTTGCGTAGCGGCAAATGCGTCTGCGGCGGGGGAAGCCTCGGGTGCATCAAGAGACACGCGATGAGGAGTAAGCCGCCAACTAACCCCGCACTCATTCGGACGGCAGACCCGAATCCCAGGTGGTCGTCGTGCAGGGTGTTGTTGAGCATGATCGCGTGCACGACGGCGCCGAGGCAGGAGCCCGACGTGGGGATGCACATTGCGAGAGTGCGTCGCCTCTGGAAGTAGTGAGAGATAACGGCGATGCTGGGGACATACATGATGCCGGCGCCGAGGCCGACACCAAGGGCTTGGGCCAGGAAGATCTGGTAGTACTGGTCCGGCTTGCAGAGGGAGAGCATGAACAAGCTTAGAGTGCACAAAAAGCTGCCGCCCCAGATGAGAGGGTAGCTGGGTTGAGTACACTCAGTCCCTTCACGGGATATATTCGGATTGAATAGACGCACAAATATCCACGATCATAAAGGCGCCCAGAGAGAAGACCACCAGCAAAAATTAGGAAGGCGCTGACGCTTCCGATCCATCTGGAATGCGCGTCATTGATGACCGAGGTGGAGGGTTCAGGACTGACGAGATCGCGGAGGACGTCGACGTCGTCAAGTAATGCCGCACGTAGAAGTCTGGGATAGTGAGAGTTGACCGTCGAAAGGCGCCGGAAAGTACCTTGATATACGCCGAATGCGTTCGTGTATCTGGAATATAACGTCAGGAAGGTTTGAATAGCTCGAACCCAAAAGGCTCGCCCAAATCCACAGAATTGCACTAGAAATCTAGGGGAAAGGTCAGTCTGGCTGTTTGGTGAGGGAAAGGAAGACATACGATCCAGCGACAGCTGCCCACGCGCGGAGTCCACCTTCGGGGAAAGATGTCTCGAGGTTCTCCTCATCCTGGGCGGCGGTGCCTCTCTCCAATTCGTCTTTCGTCGGCGCCATGAAGTCGTCTACGGATGAGACAGAGGCGAAGAGCGACGACGCATGACGTGTGGTTTCCTTTGATTTGTATTAATTTAAATGAGCAAGAAGTGGGTCGCCTCCGGTTCCAGCCATCCGACAGCTTTATCGAGTCCGTCGCGAAGTCCGTCTTGACTAATCGGCAAAGAGTGAGCTTGTCACCAAGATTCCGTGCGCCATCATAACGGCGATTCGCAAGCTGCGTGTCCAGGCCTCGGTCCAGCCTTGCATGTGGAGTTCGAGGCCAGGGATTCCCAGGACCCAAGGCCCAAGGGATTCCTAAGGGATTCCTGCATTAATTGACTTCCGAGGAACCCGAGGCCCATTGCTAA